ATGTACAAATCGCATTAAACATGGAAATGAAATCTAAGGAAACCTGAATCAACCCTCTAGCTTCACTTGGTTTTAGTTATTTGGTATTAGTTGATTTTAAAAATCACTAATTTTGGAGGTGACACAGCTGAGCAATATACTATTAGCCTTCCACTAGCTTATTGTAGATAATACCTCTGATGGATGGGTTGGTTACAATGATAAAGTTTTCATAAACTTGAGGAGAATTTTTGTTTTGTTCTTTGCACAGTGCTGAGGATCAATTGAACCCAAGGCCACACTAGCACATGCTAAGTGCTCTATCATGGAGCTACATCCTCAGTCCTTTTTATTTTACAGTCATACCTTGGTACTTGACTGGTACTCAGTACATTTTGATGTGAAAATTTTATTATGGTATTCATCATTTTCGTGGTACTTGATGTGCAAGCTTTAGAACTTGTCGATGTTGATCAGCCTCATGACTCACTACACTTTCTGGCCAAAACAGTTTGTTTGGTACTTGTGTTTTGGTACTCAACTCACCTTCTGGAACCAATTTTGAGACCGGGTCTTGGTAGTTGCCCAGGCTGACCTAGAATTTATGCTCCTCCTGTCTCGGCCTCCCAAATAGCTGGGACTACAGGTGAGCACCACTACACTTGGCTAGAAGGCTGTTTTTCTTGACACCACTAACTCTTCTTTTGGGCTTGTGCTAGTGTCCAGGGGTGACTTTTTGAGGGCAGGAGGCTGAAAATGCCACCCTCACTGCTGCCATTTTCTGAACACATGTCCCATGAAGAGTTAGGAAGTTTGATTACACATGTGTAGACCCTGATTACTTTACCCTCAACTGCCTTTCCCCATGGCTTAAGTCACCCTGCTTCTGCATCCTGCTAAAAACTCCTAAACCTTATCCTTAGAGATGTGGATTTGAAACTTGTTACACCCTCTCCATGCTCAAATTTAAACTCTTTTTCTTTTGGCAAAACTGTATTCTGTGGTGGGCCTACAGTGCAATGGGAAAAATGGACCTGCTTGTGGTAGCAAAAAGATGCCTGATATCATGCCAACAGGAAAATGTAATTCAAAACAACCATAGTGCCACTTCTGACCCATTAGGATAGCTGTAATCAAAACAGCAGATTATGTAGGCTGCTGGTAAGAATGTGAAGACATGGGGATCTCATGCTCTGCTGGAAGAATAAAAAATGCTGCAGCCAACGTGGAAAAGCCTGTGGTAGCTTCTTGCATGGTTGAACTAGAGCTGCCATATGATCCAGCAATTTTACTCCCAGGAGTATTCTCAAGAAAAATGAAAAAAAATATGTCCTCATAAAAATATGAACACAAATGTTCATAGAAGCATTACTCATAATAACTACAGTGAAAATAACTGTCCAGCTGATGAATGAATAAAACATATATCCGTACTATTGATTATTCGGCAATAAAAAGAAATGCAGTACTGATGCATTGGTAGAACATGAATGAGCTAGGTGCAAGAATCTAATAAAAGAGCACATCTTATATATTCTAGTTTTGCAAAATGTTTAGAATTTGAGCCCCAAAATTCAAATCCACAAAAAAATTGAACAGTGGCTAACCAGGCAGGTGTTAGCAGAAAAGGGAAGAGAATGCTTGTGGATTCTTTGTTAGGGGTGATGAAAATGTGGTAACAGTTACACAGACTTCTGAATATACTAAAAATACATTGAATTGTATGCTTTAAATGAGTAAAGTGCTTGGCATGTGAATGACATCTCAAAAGCTGTATTAAAAATTAATTAACATGAGTCATCATGTTAATAGGATGAGGTAAAAAAATGCTGTTACTTTAGACACAGAAAAGTCATTTGACAAAAAATCAAGCCCTCATGTTTGATAAAAACAAATGAGGAAGAAGGACTTCCTTCAGTGTAATGAAGAGATCTTTAGAAGCCCCCAGGTAACATGATACTTACTGCTTTCCAACTAAGTTCGGGAGCCAGACAAGTCTTGTTATGTGTCACAATTTCATTTCTTTGTATGTCTGATGTTTGTTTGTTGGATGTAAAATATAATAAGTTGTACCTTTTTGTGTGCTGGATAGTTTTACATTCCTGGCATATTTTTCAGCTTGTTCTGGAATGCAATTAAATTATTTGGAAAGCTTGATCCCTTCAGGTATTGATTTTATTTTTAAGGAACTGGGGAATCAAGTCTTCATTGTGAGGTTTGTTTAGGAGGGCCAGAGCGATGACCAGCATTGGGCTCCTTAGGCAAGACTCTTGGGTATGCTCTGCTCTGTGCCTCATGTATTGTGAATCTGGATGACTGGTGGGAACAGGCATTTTTCTTGATCTCCCATGAGCATTGTTGTGTCTAATCCTTTCAGACGGTTCTTTCTGAGGCCTCTGGTAGCTGCATCATGTGTGTGTGCTGGGCAGGACCCAACTGAATGTCCAAGGGTGAGTCTGCAGATCTCCAGACGTCTCTCTATGCACTCTCTCCTCTCTGCATTCTCCTTGCAAACCAGCTACCTCATTCTCCTGACACTAAGCTACTCTTCACCTCAGGGAACCTCCTGGAGTTCTCCTGTGCCATGTCCTAGAAACACTATCAAGGCTTTAAGCCAGGGCAATTAGAAAGCTCACTTTGTTTCTCATCCCCCAGGCTTAAAGATCTTGTTTGTTGCCTGATAGTCAGTGTCTGGAAAACTGTTTCATATACTGTATAGTCTCTGTTCACTGGATTCAGGCAGGCAGTAAATGTGATCCCAGTTACTCCTAGTTGGCCAGAAGTGTGTGAGATTTTATTGATAAAAGTTGGCAAACTAACTCAATGAGGAAAAGCTTGTCTTTTCAACATATAATGGTGGGAAAATTGCATTGTCATATGCAAAAGAAGGAAGAAAAAGAGAGCTTAGACCCTGCTTAACACTATACGTCAAGATTAAGTTCAAAAGGATCATCTATAGGCCTACACAGAAGAACTCAAGCTATAAACCTTCTAGAGGAAAACTTAAAAAAAAGGTTTTCTTAACTATTGGTTAGGCGATGATTCCTTAAGCATGACCCCAAACACAGTTTGTTAAATAAAAAGGTAACAAAATGGATTAGATACTCAGTAGTTTCACTCTTAAGTAGATATTCAAAGGAATAGAAAGCGAGGACTCAGACAGAAACTTTGTTCACCAGTGTGCATAGCAGCATTATTCACAATAGCCAAAAGGTAGAAATGACCCATGTGTCCATCAACAAATGAGGGGGGTACATAAACTGTTGTCATACAATGGAATATTGTTCATCTATAAATAGAAGTTTTGATCAAACATACTACAATATGGATGAACTTTGAAGACTTTATGCTGAGTGAAATAAGCCAAACACAATGGACAAATATTGTATAGTCCATTTGTATGAGGATCCTAGAATGGGTACATTCATAGATTCGGCAAGTAGAATACAGGTTACCTGGGTGGTGGAGGAAGAGGTAATGCTCGCTGATGTGCTCATGTCCTAGATCTGCTACAGTGAAGTACCACAAGCTGAGTAGTTTGAACACCAGAAATTTGTCTCACAGCTCTGGAGAGTAGATGGCCCAAATCTAGGTGTGACAAGGGTCATACTCCTCTAAAACCTGTAGGAGAATCTTTCCTTGCCCCTTCCTAGCTTCTGGTAGTTTGGAGTAAATGCCAAAGATTTTGACTTACAGATGCATCACTCCACATGGCATCCTCCCCGTGTCTCTTCCACCTTCTTCCTTTTGCTAATATTCATGTCCTTGTTTCCTTTTCATAAGCACTGCAGTCAGATTAGATTAGACCCCGTTTGATGACTCCTTCTTAACTCAACTACATCTGCAAAATTCAGTTTTCAAATAAGGTTACATTCTACAAGGTGCTAGGTTTCAAATTTCAATATCTCTTTTTGTGGAAGACAACTCAGCACATAACAAATAGGTATAGAGTTTCTCTTTGGAATGACAAAATGTTCTAGAAATTCTTAGTGGTGGTGGTTGTATAACACTGCATGTGTTTTATGCCACTCAATTGTACACTTAAAAATTGTTAAAATGGAAAATTGTATGTATATTTCACAGCAACTCAATGAAATTTTTACCTCCCTAAAAATGCTTATTTTTCTTCCTCTGCTTTAAGGAGTCTAGTTACTTATAATTCAAAACTTTGAAGGGCTGGGGATTTAGCTCAGTGGCCCTGCACCTGCCTCACAAGCACAAGGTCTTGAGTTTGATCCTCAGTACCAAAGAAAAAAAAAAACCCTTTGAAGATTTAAGATTAGTGTGGTGGGACACACCTATAATACCAGAACTCTAGGAGGCTGAGGCAGGAGGATCACAGGTTCAAACTGCCTGGGAAATTTAGAAACTTAGCAAGATTCTGTTTTAAAAACTAAAAGGGCTAGGGATGTAGCTCAGCAGTAGAATGCCAGTGGACTTGATCCCCAGTACTATTTTTAAAAAGAGAGAGAGAAAGAAAAGAAAAAGAGAAACCTGAACACTTAAAAGCAACTCATTTTTCAAAATGAGCAACAATTTTCTGTTAGGTGTTAGGGTACCAATTCATTTCTTTAAAAAATTTTATTTAGGGCAGAAGGGGTGAAGGGTGCACAGGTAATGGAGAAAAAAGTAAGAACCAAGATACATCATGTGCAGGTACAAGCACCCAATGATAAATGTAAATATATTGTATACCCTAAAATGTATCAAAAGAATTTTTTAAAAATTTTATTTGTACATGTTTGTGGTACATGATTACATTAATCATGAGGAGTTGGTACATATATATAACATCCTAATTCTTTTTTTTAAAAAAGTTTTTTTTGACTTCCAGGAAGATGGTGGAGTGGTGAACAGCAGAGAAACAGCCTCTTCAAGACTTCATATCCAGACACTGGAATATAGCAACATGAGGAAGAAAAAAAGGAGGGAAGTTGGTCCTGGGACCCAGCAAGGATCTGAAGAGAGAATTGACATCCATGGGGAGAGCAAAGAGAGAGACCTCAGTACCAAAGAAGGAGGTGGCAAGTGGTGCTTTCTCCCTGAGCCCTGACTCACTGTGCGGGAGGGGCAGCTCAAACCTGCAGATACATAATGACTATTGGCAACCCCAGAGGCCTCCCCAGAGAAATGCACGAGTGGAACAGAGCAGTAGGTGCGGTGTACTACAGTGCCTGGTGAGTTATTCAGGTTCAGACATCTCCCAGGAGAGGGTGATTGGCCAGTAGCCATCTTGGAGAGAGACCAACTGAGCTCAGAACTCAGAACAACTGCAGGCTGACTCCATCTAGCGGCTCCTAGTGTTAGGGTAAGGCAGAACCGAGTTCAAGTTGGCAGGATGTCAAGAAGCTGAATTCAAGCCAGCAGGGAGTGGAGTTCAAACTGGCAGGAGGCACATGGAGTGTTGCAAGCTGAACAAATCAGCTTCTAGTCTCACAGCCAGAAATCATTCTGAACTTCAGTGAAACTAAAGGTGCAGGCTTGCTGAGATTATCTACTACCCCACTATAAATCTATGGCTACCTTGCTGGAATTAATCAACACAGATCTGGGCTCTATCTGCCTACTCTGTCTACCAGTGACAGCAGAAACATACCCTGAAGTGGACTTTTTTTTCTTTTCTCTTTTCTTATTTTTGTTTCTTTTTGTTTTTTTCTTGTTTTTATATGAGTGTGAACATTATTTCTAGTTTTCTTGCTGTTGTTGTTCTGTTCTTGTTTTTATTTCTTTCTTCTCTCTTTCCCTCCTGTCTTCTTTACCAGTTTCCTAAAATTTGAGTAATTTTCCTTTGTCCTCCAGCCTTGCTTCTAATCTTCTCCTCTTCTTCTATTTATCTATTTTTTTCTCCCAACCCCTTTTAAATTTTCTCCTTGAGGGTAAAATTGCTATGTCGAGGGCATATTTACTGTATACAATTTTCTGGTTTGTTTTAGATCTTGTTATATAACCACAAATCTAGTTCATATGGTTAAAGGTAACAAATTAATAGTTACCACAGTTTGACATTTTCTAGGTTGTATTTGATCCTGTTATTATTGCTGATTGTACTACTTTAGCTAATGTGACATAATTGTTCTAATCATTTGTTCCTCCTGGTATGCCAAGACTGAGACTGCCTGAGGGTCATAAACAATACTATAGGTCAGTACCAAAGAACAAGGGGCTAGGCCAAATAGGCAGCAACTTCTCATCCCCAATAAATTGAAGAGGTAGGATCTTAAAAAATTTATTTATTTATTTTGTTTGTTTGTTTTTTGAGACAGGATCTTACTATGTTGCTCAGGCTTTCCTTGAACTCACTGTGTAGCCCAGGCTGGCCTTGAACTCATGGTGATCTTCCTGCTTCAGTTTCCTGAGTGCTGGGATTACAGGTGTGTGCCACCATGCCCAGCCCAGGGTACCAATTCTAATTGCTGGTTTACTGTGTTAAAAATTTTAGTTTAGAGATCACTCCAAAATTAGGTACTCATTTTTACCTTAAGGGAACAGTGAGGGAAATGACAAATTTCTGTCACTTTGTTGTGATAACACCAACCTCATTGTTCTAGATAAGCTTTACAGAAAAATGCAATCATTTTCCTTTGTCAGTTTTTACTGTCAGTAGAATTTGATTGATAAAAATAAGACTTAAGGTAGTATTTTGATTTGGTTAGATTTGTCCTTCTACACAAGCATTTTGTTTTTATTTGAACAGCAGAGGCTGTCGTTTTTGGCTAAGAATAAGAAGTGGAGACTCACAAACACAAGGTCCTGAGTTCGATTCTCAGTACTGCAAAAAAAAAAAACTGGAAGATAAGCTTGAAAATTAACTTCAGGACTGACTAAGGAGGTTATAGATACAGGGTAAAAGAAATGAGAAAGACAGATAAGCTAATAAAGGGGAAGAATATTTGTGTGCTTTCTGGGAATGGATAGAGATTTTCTGGGAACTCAGGTACCACTTTTTTTTACTCCTTTTATAGTTCTTTCTGGTTGTCCTCACAGCAGTTGTCAACTGTCAGGGCACTCACTAGGTTGTCATTTTGTATGCAAATGAAATTACAATGAAGTTAGAGATTATCTGGCAGTCATGCTGGCAGCCTTCTTAGATCCAAACAATTTTGGTAGCTAACCTGAAGAGTGACCATGGGCCTACAGGTATCTTGTACTCAAAGATGATGATTAGAGCAGGGTTGATATTTCACTGGGTCAGGAAGGCAGTGCAAAATTAGGTCAGGACAACAAATTCCGTTTTCTTATTTTTACTCCTTCCTGGAGGTGCTGAAGGGCAAAGGTCTGGCTTCTATGACTTCAAGCTGAGTCTGAGTGTCATTAAAGAGGCCAGGAGAGGAGTGATAATAAGCACTTATAGACATAATTTGTGTCACAAAAAAGAGTAGGTTATTTCAAAGGACAGTATTATCTTTTTTGCAGTGATTAGTTGAAGAATATTTCTTAAGTTAGGTAAGTCATGCTGAATGTTCTTTTTGGCAAATCATTCTATAATATAATGCTCTAGAAAATAGTTCTAAAGCTTATCTGGAAAATTAAAGTAGGGCAGAAATATTCATCTGTTAACTATATTCAAATCCTGACGAACTAAAAAATTTATTCGTATCTTACTAGATATCATTTTTATCAACTTAATTTTCAGAAAAGGCAAAGTGAAGATACTATTCATTAACATTTTGCCCTTAAAAACTTTTTAATACAGGATTTGCAAGATATTAAAGCTGTGGTAATTGGATGTCTTTCAGAGTGATAAACCATTAAAGTTTATGAGTCACGTTAACAGAAGCCCTCTCAGTTCCACCATCTCCCTTTATCAGTTCATTCTACAATAAACATAAAATCCTCTGCCTGGAGTTCAGAGCACAGCAAGGGAGAGGGGAAAAAGCCAAAACTGAAAATCCAGAAAGTAATCAGTCAGAAGTGTTCAGGAACCTTCTGATCCCCAGGCTCCTGATAAACATGCAGTGCTTAGTGCACTCCTAGGGCTCAGGGAACTTGTCTGCAGTGGTGGCACTTTCTCCCAGTGACTCGGGAGGTACTCTGTAGTCTCAAGGACTTACAGAGACTCTTTGAATATATTTATGAATTTATCTCAAAGCTTTCTGAGTCACTAAAAAAAGTAATGATGATGGCAGCAGGCCCAGGGGGAGGTGTGGGTGGGTGGAAAGGAGTGGTTTGGACAGTGCTGGGTAGTTGGCACCAGGGTCCAGGCAGGCCGCATTTGTCCCCACAGTGCTCACTGTGCTAGAGGCAGATTCTGTGCATCTGGCCTCTGAGCTCATCACCAAACATCCTATCCTCGAACTGCACCATTCTGAGGCCATGGAAGCATTTCTCATGCTCCTTTCATTCTTGTCCCTAACTCACTCATCCTTAGATTAAAAAAATTGATAATGATGATTTGATTTGATACACATACACACACACACACACACACACACACACACACGTACCAGCAATTCTAAGGGCGCTGGTCCATGTGTGATAATTCTTTGTTGTGGACCACAGGCCAACTTTCTGAGCCCAGAGAGGGGATGCCACTTGTTGGTGTCAGTGAGGAGAGCATCATGTGTGCCACTCTACATCCTTATGTAGAAATTCTCTTGGCTTGTGGCTGTGGCAGCAGCTGTGTGATTGATTGCAAACCACAATCTCATAAAAGCCCCTGCTGTTTTCTTCTTTGTATCTCTCATTACTTACTTGCCTCATTTTATTTTTGTTTTTATGTTTAGTCTGCTTTTTAACATGAGGTTCTAAAAGCACTTTTGGAAGTTGAAGAATATATATGTATATTATTATAATAAGAAAATATAAATTAATATATTTACCTAAGAATATGTTTTGTTAGGGCCTATGGAAGGCATTCTACAAATTCTATTGCATGTGAATTTTATTTCAAAAGAAGTGTCTAGTTTAAAATTTTTTCTAGCCAGGTGGGGTGGCACACACCTGGAATACCAGCTACTGGGAGCTGAGGCAGGAGGATTGCCATGAGTTCAAGGCTGTACTGGGCTAGACAGTGAATTCAAAGCCAGCCTGTACTTCATAGTGAGATCCTGTCTCAAAAAAACAAAAAAAGCTTCTGGGCCACCATACCACTGTCCCAAGCGCTGAGAAGGTGAGCCGTGTGGGCACCAGCAGCACACAGCCTCTCCCCCCATGGAAATGAGAAGACAGATAAACAAGCCTCAAAACCAGACTTCAGAATCACCTAAAGCAACCCCAAAGGGAAACAAGTTGGAACAATCTGATACTCAATCACCTGGACTCCCTGAGCTATCAACAAAAGAGGACCTGGAAAAAATGAAATCAGAAATAATTTCTCAGATATCAGCAGAGATTGTGCCCATAATGCAAGACATGATTAATAAATCTAGAGAGGACACAGATAAAAAAAAGTAGAGGAGCTGAAGAACATTATGGAATCCTCAAATAGGAAACAAATAGAATCCATAAAACAGATGCAAACAGATATCCAGGAGATTAAAAACTCCACTGAAAGTTTACACAGCAGAAGGAGCCAATGTGAGGACAAAATTTCAGATATAGAAGATAAGATTGCAATTAGTGACCAGGAAAAGAAAAATTTCTTTAAAATAGTAAGGGACCACAAGAAAACAATCCAGCAGCTGCTAGACGATGCAAAGAAGAATAACATAAGACTGAACAGAGTCAATGAGTAAACAGGAGAGAGTGCAGATGACATAAAAAAATTGTTCACAGAAGTGATGGCAGAAAACTTCCTAAGAAGGGGAAAAGAACTTGACATACAGATAAGTGAGGCATATAGGACTCCAACCATCCTTGATTTAAAAAAATCTACATATAGGCATATAATAGTTAAGACTCCAGAAACCCAACAGAAGAACAAAGTTCTACAAGCAGTTAGAGAAAAAAAACAAATCACATACAAAGGAAAGCCCATCAGAATCACAGCAGACTTAACGCAAACCCTGAAGGCAAGAAGAGCTTGCAGTGACGTATTCCAAGCCCTAAAGGAAAACAGCCTCCAACCCAGATTGATGTACCCTGAAAAACTATCTTTCAAAATTGATGAAGAAATAAGATACTTTTATTATAAAGCGCACCTTAGGAACTTCATGAATACCAAACCAGCACTCCAAAACATTTTAAACAATACCCTAGGAAAAGACAATGAGGGTCACAACCCCAGGAAGCCCGGCAG